GGGATGGTAAGCAGTATTTTAAAACCCTATCCCATTGGGCTGGGATAGATGGTTTCTTAGTCTAAATTTAACTCTCTCATTAATTAAATACCTTAACGCATTAGCCTGGTACAGTTTTCTTCTCTTAGGGTAAAACATCTCAGACAATCAATGTTGTTTGTTTTCTTCAAAAAGCCTGCTTTCTGGCACCTCAAGTGCTGTGGCTTTTAGTAAAACATGTAAAAGCAGAGTCTTGATCTTAGAGGAACAAATAGGAGCCCTCTTTTTCTTTGGGGGTTACAAGATGCTTACGGGATTGGGTGGAAGGGAAAGCTCTCCCAAGTCCAGTCAGCTTGGCAGCGTGGCTGGTGTCCTCTTGGTGTTATACTGGCCTGAGGGGTCAGAGGGGCACCCACTCCATGATGGGGACCACACACAGCTCTCGGGTCACCCCCTCATCCTGATTAGACTGATAGTTGCTCTATTTCCTAGGTCAGATCACATTGGGGCTTAGCTACAGAAAGACCCCTTTGGTGAGGTTATTTAATTAACTTCTGCTACAAGGTTTCAGGAAAGATGCTGTTTTTCTCTACCCTCCAGGGTTCTGTGGGAGGAGCCCTAGAAATTAAACTGACCCAAGATTAACAGGAGAAGAATGGAGCAGAGCTAATTGTAACACGGGCCTTGAACACACGTGGCAGAAGCTCAGGGAGGAGTCACTCCTAGGGGTGGTTAGAACTTGGGCCTTTATAGCATCTCTGCAAGGACGATAAATCTGTAGAGAAGACAAGACAAAGGATAAAGGCTTAGGTTTTCAGGGTGGCAAACCGTGGGAGGGTAAACACGGGGAAACTCATGGGAGCTAAGAGTTATTTTAGTCGGGTTTGTTATATACATTCCCCTCTTTGCTGTCTCTGGACGTAGAAAAGCCTTGAGATGTCTCTAGTGATTGAGTCAAAGTCCTGTTTCTGGTACAGGATGAGGAGATGCCTTCACAAATGGAAACTATGTCCTGTTTTTAAGCAAATGTGTGGCGGGGGTGGGGGAGGACAGAGCTTTTTTGGTATCTACCTTTTCTGATTGTCATCAGCTCAGAATAATCTTTGTGTAAAGTGGCATATTTTGGGGTGCCATATTCTTGGTCCCTGACACTTTAAAGCTAAAATGCCTTGGAAAAAAGTGCCAAGGAGGCAGGGTGGGGTAGCAAGGGGCCTGCCTCATCTGGGCTGGGAGCCCACATGGGGTGGGCTTTCCTTCTGGCCAAACCCAAAGGATCTGGGAGTTGGGACTTTCCTACTCATATCCTGAAGCTCTGACCACTCTATAAAACTTAACAACAACAACAAAACTCCATTGCTTCAAGCTATGCCCGTAACTAGATAGTACCTTCCACGCAAGTCAGAAGTCCCCAGGGCCATATCGTGGTGCATTTGGAGAGCAGCCTGTTTGCTCTAGAGCAGCGGTTCTCAGCCTGTGGGTCGCAACCCACAGGAACTGTATTAAAGGGTCGCGGCATTAGGAAGGTTGAGAACCACTGCTCTAGTGCCTTCCTAAAACCCCTTCACACCTCACTTCAGAGCAAGAGAAGGACTGAATGTTTGTCATAGGTCTGATGTGCTTTTAAACAATACTTCTCTTTTATGTAACTTCGATAGTTTATGATGTCTTATCAAATACAATTTGGAAAATGGAGAAAAACATAAGGAAAATGAAGATCACTTTACATTTCACAAGCCTTCAGATTTCTTTCAGAAATAATTTAAAATTACATTGTTATTTTAACAATTATAGTTGTAACAATGTAACAATTACATTGTTATTTTAACAATTATAAAATAGCAATCCCCTTGAGATAATCTGTCCCATCAATGGGACTCTTTAACAATTTATTTTGGCCATTCAAAAGGTAGATGGATCTTGGAAGTTAATTGTGAATTACAACAATATTTTTAAAGGTAGCTGATTCTGAAATAGTACTTACTAAGTGCCAGGAACCGTTCTAAACATTTTACATCTATTTAACTCATTTAATTATAAAAAATAAACTAAATGTGATTAGCACCATCCCTGATTGCACTTTCTTACTAGACGATCTTGCTAAATCAATCCTTGATTAGCATGCATACATCCATTTGGCTGATGTATTCTTTTCAGTTTTTGGCCGGGGCCAGGTTTGAACCCACCACCTCCAGTATATGGGGCCAGCGCCCTACTCCTTTGAGCCACAGGTGCCACCTGATGTATTCTTTTCGATACCAATAAATTATGTTCATCTCCAAAAAATATTACATTGTAATTTTAATGTCAATGTTTAATTTCAAAAGTAGCGTGTATAGTCCCAGGTTTGGTAGCAACCCCCCAAAAGTAGTCTTGTCTTAAGGGACATAGCCTTTCATGAGACATAGCTACAAAACAAAAAAGAGAAATGTTAATAAAAATAAATAAAAGGATAGAATTTGAATATATGTAAATATGAACTATGTATATACATTTGTGTATTTCTATTTTAAGAGACAGAATCTTGCTATGTTCCCCAGGCTGGAGTGCAGTGTCTATTCACAGATGAAATGGTAGTACAGCCTCAAACTCCTGGGCTTCCTTCCTCAACCTCCTGAGTAGATGGATGTTGAATTATAAATATATTTTTTAAATTGAGTAGCACATGTGAGTCCTGGGACTTCTGAGTCCTTAAATTGCTACTCATGTGGAAGTCCCAGGAAGATATTTTCAGTGAAAATATTTGGTAGTGAACTCCTAGAAACAGGGAATCAGAATTCCGGTCTTGGCAATGAGTTGTCACCCCTTAGGAACAGACAAGCCTCGTGGTTTAATTCTAGGCTCTTCTACCATCACCCTAGACTATGAAGGACACTGATTGTTATTTGTTATTGGCAAAACAATTCCACGTTCGGATGCTGTCTCGCCTGAGTGCCTTGAAGGTATTAATGACCTTGGGAACCTTGGCCACTATCCATTGAGACTGCAGAAAGCTCAGTGACCCTGTGTCCCACAGTCAGGCAGGGGTTAGTTTTAAATACCAACATTGTCAACCTAATGAGGAAGACTCTCATGAGTTTTTTCCAAAAGACTAACATTTAACTCAAACTTGGGCCGTTCCTTGGGTTGATAAAGTGAGTTCCCACACCTGCACCTGAGTCCGCCCCTGTAGGGAGGATTGTAAAGTACTAAATTGTTTGAGAACTGGGGCTTAGGAGTCAAGGTGATTTGCTCACAGCCTCATAGCTGGTAAGCGGCCAAGGAACAGACTGGTTCTTGGGTTTTCCAACCCTGACTCTCATGTTTCTGGGGCATGGACAGGCCATGCCCTTCCTGTTTCTGTCCCAGCCCCCTCCACCTTCCCCATGCCTTGCTCACTGAATGAGGGACTGTCCTGTTGGTGTGTGGCAGGCGCTGATTGCCGAGGAGGCGAGCAGCAGGCTCGCTGAGCAGGAAGAGGAGCCCGAGAAGTTCCGAGAAGCCCTGGTGAAGTTTGAGGCCAGGTTCAACTTCCCCGAGGCAGAGAAGCTGGTCACCTACTACTCCTGCTGCTGCTGGAAGGGCAGGGTGCCCCGCCAAGGCTGGCTGTACCTCAGCATCAACCACCTCTGCTTCTACTCCTTCTTCCTGGGCAAGGAACGTAAGTGCAGCTGGTGCCGGGGCGGCTGGCCCTTCATAGGTGAAGCCACGCAAGGCCATTACCATGAAGAGTTAGAGAGTACAAGATTGACATTAATGGTAGAGATGGCAACAGGTTCTGCTACCAGGGGGTTGCTTTGGGGAGAATTCATTCTTCCTGCTGCCTTAAAATGTTAAGAAACATTTCTGTGTAGCTCACCTTGTGGTTACTGGAGTTTTTACTGGTGTGGGCTGCTTTGAGAACCCAGCATCATAACTGCTGGCTGAGTATTTCCTAGTGCCTTGGAAGCGTGGCTGGATAATGTTTCTTCCAGAAGGGGAGTTCCTCATCTGGGTCCACTTGAGATTCATGCACTGACTCACCTCTCACACATTTGTCCACTGACAGGAGCTAAACTAGGCAGTGGGATTTCAAGGTGAAAAAGAAAAGCCACCAAATGTCAATTTGTATGTTGTATGTTTAAAAAGTCATTTTCATTGAAACTTCTTCCAGAGCCAAATCATGTTTCAAATGTCATGCTGGGTGGTTTGGATGCTGCGTGTGTGTGTGTGTGTGTGTGTGTGTGTGTATACATACACTTTTTTTTCTTTCTGCGTTTGTGTTTCCAGTTGAACTAGTGGGAGGGTCTCCTCCCAAGTGTCTGTGGGGGCGAGCTGCTGGCATATGCATGCTTTGCTTCCTTGTCTAACTCAGTTCTGATGCTCCAGGACATACCCGGATCTGCACAGCCCTTCCCCACCCTTGGAATGTGCTGTGATCTAACCTTGGCCACCCCCTGTTTTCCTTTCTGAAATGCTTTACAATGTGAACACCCGCCTTTGAGTCTTTTCCCCATGCTTAGCCTGCTCAGAAACTCCTGTTCACCCTTCAAAACCCAGTTTAGATTCCATCACCTCCAGGAGGCCTTCCCTGGTTCCTATATAATTTGTATCATATTTGTATTTCTGTGCTGGGTTCCATCAAGTCAGCGGTCACTCAACTTGTTTGCATGTCTGTTTTTCCTGTTTGAGCAAACTCTTTCCATGCAGGGCTCTGTGCAGAGTAGATGCTTAAAGAATGAATGTAGATGGTGTAGGTTAACGTGTGTGTGGGTGTGTGTATGTAAAAGACTTTATGTGAAAACAACGAGAAGTAGATGGAGAAGCTTATTCTCAAGCCAGGTACAAAAGGTGGCCTTTTAAAATTCTTAAAGCACTGAAAACAGCATTGCAAGATATATGGAAAGAAGCAGTGGAAATAAAAACACTGAATTGTTTCCTAGTTTATTTGAAAAGGAAAATTAATTATTTTCCGATATGTATCAGTGATTATCATTAAATCTGATTGTGTTAAGATGATGAGATTTGTAAAAAATAAAAAACTCCTAACATTGGATAACATTTTCTGGTTTAAATTGTTGTGTATGTCTCCTTAATAAAACCAGGCAGTCCGATGTAAGACTCTCCGTTCTTCTCAGCTCTGTATTGCCACCACTAGCTACTGCTGTGTTAGAAACATTTCTGAGAACAGAACACTCGTTTCTGAAATATACTGTTCGGACTGTGGGACTTTTAAAGAAGATTTTCATAAGCACTACTTGTACTCCGTCTCCTACCACTCTGACAACACCATTTGACACAGTTTAAACATTAAGTCCGTTGCTTTAAACGAGATCATGAATAATCCTCTTTTATGCTCCTGTTTCTCCTGCAGAGTTTGCCATGAATGCTGTCTTTGAAACCAGAATTTATGTAGATTCAGAAACTTTGGCAGGTTGGAGCAAAAGTTTGGAGTTTAAATATTCTTGAAAAGTTATATGATGTTATTTGGTATTTCAGAGTAGTGACCCCTGGAAGTGTGCGGTAGCCAGCAACTTAGGAAGTTTGACTTAAATCTTTTTTTTTCCCCCCACATTTTAGGCATCTTTATTTCTTTTTTTCTATGTTTATCTTCCATTAGCATCTCTATTATCCATACCATGTAGATTAATGTTTGGGCATGATCAGTAATATCGGAGGTATGCTATTAGGTTACAAAACTAAAATACAGAACGATACTTTATCTTCTGCATATATACATTTCTGCATAAATATACAAGTACTTGCAGCATAAGAAAGTTAGTGAAAGAATATACAAATGGACAGCAGCTATTCTCTTTGATCTATTTTAGGGTATTGTTATTTATTTCATTTCCTATAGTATCATTGTAACTATAATAAACACCTAATGCTCTTGTAATTACTGAAAAAAATTATCATGGAAAATCAGCCATTCTTAGTCCCAACCATATGAAATACACTGACTTCTAGAGTAGAGAATGTATCTTGGGTCTAGGAAGGAAAAAATTATTGAGAGAGCCTCTTCCAAGTATAACAGGATATAGCTCCCCTCATTCTCAAACCAGAGTGATAATTATTGATATTTTATGCGTTTTACTTAAATCTTTAAGAAAACTGTTAGAACATGAGTTGAGTTTGAACCAACGGCTGTCAGCAGTTCTATGCTCTTCTTTCCTGCTCTGGTTTAAAAGACGTTTGCTTTTTAGCCTAAGGAAAACTTAGGATTGTCACTTGCTGACACAGTCAAGTTTGGCTTGGATTGTATGGTCTGATAGGTATTTGCCCCTTTTCTCGTGCAGTTAAACTTGTCATCCCTTGGGTTGACATCCAGAAATTAGAAAGGACGTCCAATGTCTTTCTGACGGATACCATCAGAATCACCACGCAGAATAAGGAGCGTGACTTCTCCATGTTTCTGAACCTGGATGAGGTGTTTAAGATCATGGAGCAGCTGGCAGATGTGACACTCCGAAGGCTGCTGGATAATGAGGTCTTTGACCTGGATCCAGATCTGCAGGAGCCAAGCCAGATCACCAAGAGGTAAGAGTTCCAGCTCCAGGATGCCCCTAGCAGCACAGGGTTTCCCGGGGCTGGTGCTCAGCCTGCATTTAGAAGTGCTTTGTTGTACTGCATGGAAATTTAAACTCCTTATGTTGTTAGTCCTGACAGATGAAATCATTAGAAACGATTATCAGGTCAGGCATGGTGGCTCACACTTGTAATCCTAGCACTCTGGGAGGTTGGGGGCGGGTAGATTGCTTGAACTCAGGAGTTCTGAATGAGCCTGAGTAAGAGCAAGACCTCGTCTCTACTAAATAGAGAGTAAGAGCAAGACCTCGTTTTTATTAAATAGAAAACTAAATTAAAAT